TATTTGAAAAATAATGTGTTTTTTGAACATTAAAGCATGTCAACATATTCTGTTACACCAAATACACAAAATAATGATCTTTAAAAAAGCATCATATGACCCCTTTAAATAACTGGAAGCCTGGCACATTCAAGTCACAAATGGCTGTGCCCGCTCTTATGCTATGGTATAATAAGGTGGATAAATGCTCATTTGTTTGTTCTAAATTGTGTACAACTATACCACATATTTTGGGGAGAATTTTTCACCAAGAATCTGATTAAGCCTCCCAAAACCTCCTTAAATCATCATTTGTAAAAATGGTTTAAAAACAAAATAGGTTAAATTAAGTATTTTAACAACTGCAAAAATATTGAAGGTTTTCTGTTCTGTATATAAAAACAATAAAAGTCTATGCAATGTCCCCATTTGGATAGCTAAGAAAATGTTAGTGTGTGGTGTTAATATGCAGATTGAATGTTTATGAACTGTGTAAATGATTTATTAATGTATTTCACTGCCAATCAATAAGCTGTGTTGCATATTTGATGAATAAAACTTGGCCTGTGTAATGCCGAGTGCTGTAGTCACTCTTCTGGTTTTTATGTATGTTTAATGTATCTTTATTGTCTTGCTGCAGTCGTCCGCTCTGAGTCTGTTTTTTTTTTTCACACAGTTGTGGGTTAGTTGGCTTCAACTCTGGTCTGGTTCATATTGCGTACAAAGTCACACATTGTGGAAAATACCAGCGCATGGGCCTTTGGTATCTTCGTCTTCATATCTAATCGATTTCCAATGTTTTGCTAACGTTATGAAAACTTTATTTCTTAATTTTCTCTGAACATTCAAAATATTCAGTGTTTTAAAAAAAAAATTTTTTTCTTGGTTATACAAATGTTAAGGGATTAATTCATTTTATGACTTTGCAAACATTTTGGAAATTATTGAAGGGGGTCTGAATACTTTCCGTACCCACTGTATATATAAAACTTAGATGAACCTCCCACTGAGACGACTTTGAATGAACATTCTATTACTGAAAGAATGCTTGTCCATAACTGTAAAAGAACATTGACAGAATGTTCTCTACTATTTAGGTTGTTTTCAGTTTCCATGTTCCAGAGGCCGTATAAAATAGCAATGGTGGCTAAAAAGACTATGGCATACTTGTACAGAACATACATGTCTAAAACCCACACTTGCTAACGTGAAACTAGGTCAGCAAAACCACATGCTGGTGCTGTCAGAAAACACCCAGACATACTAGCTTACAAGTTTGGCCAGAAGTTTTGTTTAAAAAAAAAATCATCAAAATTCAATTTAGTTTAGGTGCCAATATAGCAATTTAATTAATTGAAAATAAAACCTTTTGGCAGCTGAAATTACTTAACCAAAACACTTTATCTCATGCACTTTGACCTTCTTAAATGCTTTAATAACAGTAAACAGTCAGGTCAGAGCAAGTTCAACGTCTACATCCTCTTTTCAAGGGTGTCTGGTGGTTTCCTTCTAATTTTTTTCTGCGCATCTGTGTAGCACTTCCTCACAGATTCGTATTAAGTTAACCATCTTACTGCATGTGAGCAAAACAATCACAGAATGAGGACGGTGCAACTTTTACTCTTCTGTAAGTTACTCAGTGTAATTTCTGCGTGATCTTCACATGACTGAATAGTTTTCAAGGTTGAAAGAGTTATGTGTTTTACCATATGCGTTTTATCTTCACAGTTCTACTGGTGTGTCAAACTACAGAGCGTTTAACTGATAAACGGGTGAATTTAGGGCAAAACGTGACTTTAGACTGTCAGATTGATGTAAAAGACATTTATTGGGTTTTCCAGAAACGGACAGATTCTCCAGTGCCGATACTGCGAACTTTCACATCAGACTCTACATCATCTCGTCTAAAAGACCAAAGTCTGAAAGACAAATATTCATCACTAACTTTGAGCCGTTTACTTATTAGTACCGTAACTATCAATGAATTAGGAATATATTATTGTGTAAAAACAGGCTCATTTCTACAGCTCAGTGATGGCATCAGACTTTACATCACTGGTAAGTTATTTCTAAATCAACTGCAATTAACACATCAAATTTGCTGTTATATGTATATACTAATTATATTATAAATGATCTAAAAACGAATTATTATCTGTGTTACTGCAATATATACTTTTACCCTTATCAGAGGTGTTTAATCATTTATTGGCAATAAAAATGCAAAACTTATACAATTATACAGAATCTATCCGAGATCAAAATCAAACAGAATACAACAATCATACACAATCACAAGGTGAAACAACTCTCAAGATTCACAAGATTCTGACTGTTACATCCTTCCTATTCAACATTTTGCTGATCATTGCAATAGGTGAGATTTCTGAGATACAATCAAGTTGAAAAAAGACTTCAAAAAGTTGAAAATACATAAAATAATAATAATAATAAATTAATTAACATGATCATATGTTCAAATGAATCTACTCAGTGTCATTTAAATGTAAAAGTTTAGTGTATTCCTTTATGAAGAGTTTATTTGAAATGCACTAATGCATTGTTTCATTATGCATGTGTATTATATTCATTCCATGATGATAACTTAACCAAAAAATTATGTGCTACTTTAGGTCTGTTAATGCTCAAACTTAAGAAGCCAAGAAAAAGTCGACATCAACCCCAGAATGTCGAAACAGTACCACTTGAGGACTTAAACACTGCACAGGTAAGACTTAAATTGCTATACGATTCAGTTGCCATTTTAGTTCATAGTACAAAGTATTTCCAAAATTTCCAGGCAACAGTTAAAATGCCTCATCAAGTTATTTTAGTGTTAGTGGAAGGTGTTTAGAAACTCATAACTTGTGAAATGATGATGATGGAGATCATTCTTCAGATTTCACAACTCATGACGATTTGTGAAACATCTTAAGCAACTAAAACACATAGTTAGCTGAAATAACTCTACTAGATGTTCTAAAAATTCCCAAATGTTTTACAAAATTAACCAAGCGTGTTCACATGTGTGGTGAAGATGTTTATAAAGTGGCTAACTTCATTGTTATTGTTCTCGTAGTATTCTGAAATCGAGTTGCCCACATATTCCAGAAGAGAAAATCCCATTCAAATAAACGGCACTTATGTACTTCTTCAGAAGCCAAAGCCGCATCCTAGATCAACACAAGCAGAAATCATCACATCTTGCAACCTACAAAGTTATAATGAGGCAGTCTGACACCTTCTGTGGGTGTATCCTTTTCGGTAGGATTAAGTTTTATAAAGGCCAACGTGTTTCCGTCACTGTTTGAATGAAATCATGTTATTTACTTATTTATAAAATACATAATTTGGATGTGTGTTGCTACCAAGTACCTCAGACATGTTAACAGATAAATCTTGAATGATTAATGTGGTTACAGTTTACAGTAAGGTTCAATGCATTAACATTAAATTACAATGGACAATACTTATTAATCCTGGTTAATGTTAATTCATGTTAACAAACATTAATATGAAGTATATTATTTACGTTTGATTGTATTGATTGTAATTGATTTTATTTTATGTGGTTAACCATGCTGGTTTAGGATGATTTAGTTGGTCTCCAGACTGGCCAAGCTGGTGTTTAGCTGGTCTCCCAAATCTGACCAGCTGACAAGTACCCAAAACACATCAAAAACCATCAAACTAGGTCAGAAAACTACTTTTCCCTAGTGGACGTTCTTGAATCAAAGTGCAAAAACATTAATTATGATACAACGTCGAACAAAAAGTACAAGATGGCAAGAAAAAAACATGGTCTAGAGATGTGTTGTGCAACACTGACTGAAGTTTTGCCATGCTTCATGTGAACAGATTGGTAAAAGTGCTACTTCCTGTTTCTGAAAAAAACAACAACAGCGAAATGTCTACATGCATTAGGTCAAAAACTAAAAGGTCTAGGGTTCCATATGGTTTCAGAAAAAAACATCAGGCAAGTGTTTTAAACTTTCTGAAGATTGTTTTCCTCAGTAAAGTGTTGTAGCATGCACGTGTGACTCATAAAGACATTAAAACTTGTTTTAAGAGATGGATGGAGTTTTTTTCTTATTTGGGTTACACTTACATTTGTACATTTTGTATGATAACACAATGTTTCATAGGAATTAACAACATCTATACACAACCAGGGCCTTACATATATGCATCCATGAAAACTTTCAGTTACATTTTTAGGCTAGTTTTTTTCTACTGCTCAGCGTCTAACCGCGCTCGTCAAAATGATTGATGACTCTTGACCAATCAAATTAAAGTAGGCGGGGTTTACTCTTCACAGAAGCAGTGCGCGAATTCCAGCGCGGTATTTCGGTTTTTAACGGTGAAAGACAGCAAGGTAAGATGGAAATAGCAAAACATTGAATATTTCACAACTGTTTATGATAGAAATGTTAAACGACCGACAGTAATATCCAGCACTGCAAACTACTCGACTTTTCCCCCAGATATGACTGTTTTGGTATCATTTACATGATTCATGTGATTTCTAAATGAACGTGAAGAGACAACAAACGATTTGCAAATGAGTGAATGTGTACATATTTTAAAATGTTATTTGTAATTAGTTCAAAATAATTACTTCCCTACTAGAATTAGATTTATTAGATCTATTTCCTTAACTGTTCTATTTCTACATCTACTTTATTAAAAACAGTCTCCCCAATGTTTAATAAATGGTTACGGCCTTGTACACAACAAACAGTCACACTTAAAAGGTCTAATTTTCTACTATATATTTATATTCAATGAAAATTACATTTATTTAATTAAACAAATTTACATGGGAATGGAGCAATTACACCATATCCAGTATTCGGGAAGGAAAACAGCACAATGAAGTGAACAACAAACAATAGAGTTAAATCTCAATTCTTTACATCCTAACATCAGATTTTCCTCTTCACATTATGCAAATCTACAAGATACAGCAATTAAGAAACGTCACAAACAATTTTATTTGTCCATCGATCAACCGGCATCAATAAATAATCTTTATATCTGTGTTTGATTGCGTCATAAAGATGAAGCATTTATACAAGCAATTCTGTGGTACCCACATCAAAAATAAAACACATTCAAATGCACTCAAATACAAAACACAAAATGGAATGGGGTGTGGTGGACGTCGTCAGTCCAATCGGATCTTCTGATTGGTCATCCTGTAGATGATGCTGTCATATCCGGGATCCATGTTCCAGAGGTTGTACGAGATCACGATGACGGCTAAAGCTAACACGATCATCAGCCACAGGACAATGTTAAAGACCACGGCGTAATCATAGTCGTACTTGTAGGCCAGGTTGTAGAGGCTGCCTTGGTTACTCTGAAACAACCACACGCTAGCGTTACATGAAGTTCAACGTTCAAAAGTAGGTCAGCGAAGGGGGTTTCTACTGTACTGCAACAGTCTTTTTGTTTTAGAACAAAACAAACAGGTTATGGGTTGGAAAGGTGAGGCTAAGATAAAACTATACGCTACTATTTGCTAACCAGCTACTACAGCTTACGCAATTTATGTTAAATGTCTTACAGAAGTGGTCTTGAAACGATTCTTTCTTCTCGTACCCTGACGAATAAGAATAACGCTGAAAATGTGGACCTGATCCAATATTAAGTTTTCTTTCTATGTAGAAATGTTTGCTTTTAGAAAAGCTTATTGCAGTTAACTTACGATCTGAAGGATGGAGCGTGACTTCCTGGTCAGAGGGGCTTCAAATGTCTTCACCGTCACCACTTCTACAACCGCGTTGTTTGCATAGACATTGGCGACATCGTCTGCGAACTTCGTACATGTACAAACAAACAGATTTTAATGTAAAAGTACCAAAAACAGCAGTACTATTGTATTATTTATTACTATAATAGTAGTACTGTATTAGTACTAAATAATAATAGTACTGTATTATTTAGTACTAATAATATTATTATTATTATTTTTGTAATGTATTATTTAGTACTACTAGGCCAAAAAAACAAACACATTTTATATCTGGAACCAAGCAGAGAAATATATATGAAAATGTAATTAATGAATAATTAAATTTAATGAACAATAATGATCTTATGTTCATGACAAAACAATAAAAGAGAAATTTGCAGATATCTAAATAACCTAAAAGTTGTCTTACTAGGGGCTAAAAGTCAAGCTTTTAAATGTTTTGTCTTCATTTATTTTAACAGTTTTACACAGTAAAAGTGTGCCATTTTTCAGCTTAAAACAAGTAAAGAAAATAAAGCATAATTAATTTTTTTTGCCTAAAAATGCCTTAATGCAAAAATAAATATAAAAATCTTAATTGTCCTTGTCCTAAAGCTTAATTAAAACAACGACGACAAAAAACTACTAGTCTTCCTCATTTCTAGCAGAACATTTTAGCAACTTCCATGTTCCATATTAAAAAAAAAAGTATAACCTTTGCTTGCGATTCTGTAATTATTGTCATATTTATTGTGATAATTTACAATACACTACTATCTATTATACAATATGAACACATTACCAAACTGTATTTACATTAATGTTACACTGTAATGTATTTAAAAAAATTAAAACTACAGTCAAATTAATGTACTTTGTTGCATTAGAGACCATTGTGTCAGTAAACAAGAAAGAGGCCAGCACAGCAGTGTTATCTTAGTATCACTGATATCACTAATATTTAGAATTAGTTTTTATTTTTATATTTCCAGTTTGGTTTTAATTTTAGCTTAGTTTAGTAACTACCAGTTTTATTAGTTCTTAGTTTTTATTTTAGTTTTAGTTATTTTAGTTCATCAAGTGAAAGTTTTTATTTTAGTTTTTTATTTCAGTTCAAATTTATTTCAAATAATAGAAAAACGTTAATGTTTTAGTAAACTATAATAATGCAGCACAGTCTCCATACCTTCTGCAGAGTGGACGTCAGGATCCTGGTAGCGTCGGCGAACTGAGGAGAGTCTGTGCCATAACGACGGACGATTTCCTCCAACCCCGCGAGCTCTAGAGAGTACAGGTCAGGAGCCGGGTCTTTAGCCAGATGCTTGTGTTTCTGCAACTGCAGCAAACAGAAAGAAATACTTCAATAACACAGAATCAATAGAGTAAATTATCAGTGAAAAAGGACAATTCACTTTTTTTTAAAAAGTTGCCACAGTAATTTAATCTGATTACAGAGATTTTTTTTTTTTAATTCAAAAAAAAAAACATTAAGAAAAAACAAATTTTATATATTTAGGAACTATATGAGACTAAAAAGCAGATACAAACATTGAGGCTAGATTAAAAATAAAAGGATTTTAAACTAGAAAACAAAAATCAACCTATAAAATCTCGCACGGCTGATTTATACGGGACAAACTGTCATAAAGTGTATGGGCTCAGAGCAGACAGAGAAACTCACCAGAGCGGAGATGTCATACAGCACCTGCACCTCAGATAGGAACAGAAGATCAGCCTGAAAAACACAGACCACCACATAAACACATTAAAACTGGTATATTTAGATCAACGCCTAGTTTAGGGTGGGAAACAAAAACCAACATGCATCTACTGAACGATGGTTTCTATCTGTAACAACTACTTTCATAAGTTGATATTTTCAGCAAGGCAGAAGCCACTTCCTACTATGACCGAAAAACTGCTTCAGAAACTGTTACAAGTCCATGTCTGTACAAAGTGTGTGAATACTGTAAACACTAATAAATGATAGATAGGCAGATAGATAGACAGACAGACAGACAGATAGATAGAGGGGTGCAGGATCGGGAAAGATCCTCGAGCTGGGATTCGAACTTGGGACGCCCATAGCGCAATGATGCTATATGTCAGCACGCTGCCCACAAGGCTATCAGTGCCGACAGATAAATACATTTTTAATTAGTTATTTGACATCTATGGACAAAGTAGATCTCAACACCATGAGTCTTCACCTCATTATTACGGCTGAGAGAGATGAGAGGAAGGGACGTGAGGACAGATCCGTCCTGGGACAGACGTCCACGGATCTGTTGCAGGGTCACGGGCAGGTCCTCAAAAACAGTGTTGGCCATTCCCATCATATACAGCCTCTGAAACACACGATCAAGACATTTCTTAATATTAGACACATATTAAATGAACGTTCTGCGTTCAATACATGTTCCATTAACATCATCTATGACTTTGTGAGAATTTCACCAAAAAACAAACGATTTAGACTTGTCTCTCAGTTTGTTAAAGAAAAAATGTATTTACTTTACTAATTATAAAGAACATAATTGAAACAATTTTTTGAATTACCATAATAACAGCAAGTCTTTTATTTTTAGTGCTGTATCAGCACATACAACAATTTAAAAAAGACACATAAGACAAATAATAAGATAAAAGAACAATAATTTAAAACATAATTAGACAACTCTTTTTTTATATAAAAACTACAAACTTTTAACTTAACACTGGATAAAAATGCTAATTTTCCAGTATTAAAAAAACAAGTCGGTCCAATTAAATATTCTTTACAGTAGGTCTCATTTTACCTTTGCATTTTATTGCATCAGATTTTAAGCATCTCACGTGCATCTTTATCTGCAGAGCACTTTGTGTGTTTGCAGGCATCACTTATGTGGTTAGTGAGTCGTAATGTGCCAGAGATTCGCTGAGGCCATACCTCCTCACTGGGGGCGAGCTGCAAGACCACAGGGGTGCTGCCGGCAAACAGAGTGTGCACCGTGTTTGCCACACTGTCCAGAGTGAACGGAACCGGCTGAAACCAGACAGACAGAGACAGATATATAGACAAAGTTGTGCCTTCAGTCTCATGATACAAAATAAGGGAAGTCTAGCAGGGAAACCACACGGCTACTCAATCCTGAAATATCCTTATTTCCTGGAACTTACAAATTAGCTGTTGAAACTTTTTTTCAGGGTCTACAGGGACTTATTTAACTTTACTCATTCATTTAAAGGTTAAAGTGACAACCTACACGTTGAATCAAAGACATAAAAGCAAGAAAGAGCAAGAGACAAAGAATAGCTTTTGCATTCATGCACCACAGAAAATAAAATAACTCATGCACGTGAGAACGTATCACTCACATTTTCGAGAGGGTAGGAAGAAATGTTTTTTGGAAAGTCGAGGCTGTCCAAGCCGCGCACGACGATCAGAGCGTTTGCACGCGGGCGTTGGAAGAGCGAGCCGGCAGCCAGACCTGGCCAATCAAGATCCTGCAAACAAAACCACAAACTTACTACAGCGTTTACATGAAGACATTACAAGTGCCGTTACACGATTAAACAGACAGTATACCTCACGGATGGAGAAGCCCATGGTCAGGGCGACTAAATCAGGGACCTTTTCTCCTGATATGGGCCATTGTCCATCCTGGAATGTCACGTATGGCGGGCTGCGCAGAACAGTCAAACTGTCGCCCAAAACACCTAATGGAAAATAGTACAGAAAACAATTCTGATATATTCCCATAATCTTTCTTTGCAATAAATGACACTTGCTTTAATATTTCGAAGTCTAATGCATGACATTCAGACATTTTGAGGGCCTTCGAAAGG